CACGAACGTGCCGGGACAATGTGTGTAGGTAATGAGTAATTGAACTGCAGTCAGGGAGTGTGTAATTGAGTATTGTCGAGCACGAGCACGTGAGACGTTCTAGCGTTTGTTAAAGAGCGACTGTTGAAATTAAGTGTATCGGTAAAGTTGTATTCAGAAAGAATAAACCAGTTTTATTTAAGAAAGGACTTGAGTCGTTAAAGTTTCGTCGGAACGAATTTACGGAAAATTAATTAACAAACGGAGAGGTAACAATATGAATAGTAATATACTTATTCTGCAGCATTTAGCTATTTCAGTATTCCTTTAATTAATATTCGTGCAAGTAATTCGTACCTAAAGAACTATTATTTAACAGTTATGTTCTTTTATATTTCAGTCCCCTTTAAACTCTTGAAATAATCTGAACAATGCACAAAATAAAAACAATATCACAACTAAGTACCAAACAGCATCAGAAAAAAACACAGTGGATGAGTTAGATTAATTTCACATTATATATATATATAATAACACTAGCCACTAAACATTATCTTGTGCTTGTAGACGAGTGTAATTATTTTTCATGTGATTAATTTTAAATTTAAAACTTATCATATCAAATTGAGAAAGAAAGAAAAAAAGTTGGTCCAGATACGCATGAAAATGTCCTCTGGTTGTCATTATACAAGCTCAATAAAAGTTGTATTCGGGTCAATTTGAAAAACCAGTTATCATTATTACGATGACTATCAACTCACTTTCGAACAGTTACACCTTCTTCATTATCAGATCGAAAGAACAGGTGGTTTGTAGCGTTGGTCGCTTGCCTTCTATACTCACCAACGTTGAAAACTGGAGTTTGGAGAAAACAGAATTATAAGCAAAAAAAAACAAACAAAGAAAAACAATTTATTTATTATAAGAAAATTGAAATGCCAAAACAGGGAATATTTTTAATTAGCAATTCCCATATAATAATATATTTAAAGAAAGTGCTGAAATACAAAATCAAGCATAGATATTAACAATCATTATTTGTATCTATGTGTGTATAAACTGTTATTTGAAGTTTTAAACTCGTACAACTTTTTGACAAAACGAACTGAAATGCTATTTGTAGATTCTTCGTTCTTACGAAATCTAAAAAAAAACAACAACATTGAGAGTCATAGGGAAGTCTCAAAAAAGGGGAGGTCAGTTTTTTTTTTTTCTGGGGGCGAGGGATATGCTCAGAACTGGATCCAAAAACTTGCATTAAAAGAAATATTGGAATTAATATGCCAGGAATAACGGAAGGTAAGTGTATGTAATCTAATCTAATTTTATAATGATGCTCTCTAGTAGAGAATCAAAGGAGTTTCAAAGACTCTCAGAATTGGTATGTGGAAAGCTAGAGTTGTGAACTTTTGTGTTTGTACATCTTCACAATTAAATATTAAATTCATGTACTAGCTGGAGTACCCGTCTCTTGGACGGAAGTTATGTAAATTCATGTAATAATAGCTGGAGTACCCGTCTCTTGGACGGAAGTTGTGTAAATTCATGTAATAATAGCTGGAGTACCCGTCTCTTGGACGGACGTTATGTAAATTCATGTAATAATAGCTGGAGTACCCGTCTCTTGG